ATGTTTTTCACCATTTTCAAATCTAATTCGGCAATTTTTGGAGGCCTCTCCTTACTTTTGCTTTTCTTTAAAGCTAAAACCATTTTTTTTTCACATTGATCGGTACAGTTAAATCAAAAAAAGCCAGACTAACTAATTCTTCCGACAAGTACCATAGATGACGTAGAAGTTTATCTAAAGCACTTTTACTGATCTCTGAGTTGATTGCAGAGTATGAGCTTAATTTTTTTAACAACATCAAATCATTATTTGGAGCTTGCGTGGCTAAAGGAGCCTTGAACCAGTATTGAACATACACTTTAACAAGAAATAGACACAATTCAGTTAAGTTCTTTAAAAAAGGATCATCCTTGGCGAAAACTTGGTCTTGGAAAAGCCAAATTTTCAGAGCATAAATTGCAGCGGCCATCCACCTCGCTTTAGAGATTGGTCCAGGTGCTCGAAATCTAATGCCACGCTTCGGAGACCCTCCCAGAAAAATTATCGTGAGCTCAAGCAGTTCTTGATAATCATCTCGCGGTTGTGTACTCTATAAATAACAAAACAGAGAGAAACTGTATTTTATAAATATTGACTCTGGGATATGATCTCAATAGAATGTAAAATGATAACGGCGAGTAGCTTTTTTGAAAATTAATTTCAAGAGTAAATGAAAACATTCCTGGTTAGGGTAAAATACAAATACATTATGAATAAAATTGAAAAAACCATGTACAAAACTATTAAAGTTGAAATGGATATTCGTGTAATTTTGGGGGGAAGGGGTAATAAACATCACCCCTGCGTCCATCTATAACAGCTGCAGTTTCTGAAAAATATAATTTTTTAAGATATTCATTTTAGAGATATTTCATTCGTCTAATGTTTTCAAAAAACTTACCCTAAGGAGGTCCATGGCAAAATGAATTATTTCATCCTTGTCGGGCTTCACTAACTTTGAGACGTACTTATCTTGAGTGGCTGTTGTGAACTTGGTTTTGTCAATTTTATCCCAATGAACGTCACGGAATTTTGTGAACTCAGGAATTTCGGGTTGTTTCCTCTTGCCGAAGCATACTGTTACCGCACTTTCTAGTATCAGCTCAGGGATGTGGTGCCGACATGCAAAATGGAGTAGAGGTTTATCCAAAAGTGACTCCAAGCAAGTACATGCCCCTTTATGTACTCCTGTATTAGATGATGTTGTATCGAAGCACATGCCTCGTACCAGATTTACTACTTTCCAGTCTGCCAGAGCCTCATAAATGCTTTTGGCTTGTGCTTCGCCTGTCCCACTTGGTAGAGCAGGCACACTCAGTAGCTGGTCTTCAATGTCAAATCCAGATACTAAAATCGGAAGTCGGTCCACTTTCTGTCTCCCCGTCAACTCAGGCAGTAGTTTTCCGTCCCAATGAACGACTAAGGGTGATTTTGGATTAAAAGCTTCCTTAACTTTTTCTGCAGACATCTTGCGATGTTTTTCTCTAGATTTTCGAACAGACTTTTCGTTTAAAGCCAATATACGAACATCATGACCCAATGTTTTGGCTGTTTGAGCAGCAATACGGGTGGCTGTTCGATTACTGACATTTTCACGATCCAGAGCTGCCGCTAAATCGACTGATATAATCGGTGCTCTTCCTCGCTTTCGAGACGATGGAGGTTTGTCACCTTTTGGTCTGCCTACTCTGCCTCTTTGTCGAATTGGTGAAATTACGCTAGGATTAGGAAATTCAGGGTGACTGGACTTTTTCAATGCTCTGCCTCTCCTTGCGTTCATCTTTTGCTGTCCTGCTGCTGAACTTTCACTCGAAGTTTCATCACTTGAAGCCGACGAACTCAGATTTGCCTTTCTCCAGACTTTTTCTAATTTTTGACGTTCTAACTGAGCTCTCAGTTGCTCATGGTGTTTCTTAGCTTCTCTGCTCGCTACTTTGGCTGACAATGCTTGCTCTTTTTTTGCTAGTACTTTATCGACACTTCCCATGTGACCCTTTCGGCCTGTTCTCTGTTGGGCTCTTAGAAATTCCTTGTCTTCTTCAATTTCTATGATATTTAACGCGTTTGCATGGGAAATATCGAATAACGCAGGTAGTTCCCTAGAAAATGATTCACTTTTTGCACGTAAAAATTCACTTTGCTTGTATTCGTTCCTTTTAAGTTGCAAATACTCGTTGTAAAGTTTCTTCACCTTTTTCACACAGTGAGATTTATCTCGAGCCGGTATTCGCGCTTTATCCCAAAACTGAATTACTTCACCAACTACTATTAGCGCACTTTCTGCCACGGTTTTACGTTTTTCACAATGCTCATATAAAAATTTGCCCAATACATCTTTCCTTGACGGTAGTTTTTTACCCGAAATTGTCTTTAGTTTTTCGATAACTGTCAATCTCGAGTGTCTTTTACCGGTTGACTTTCCTCTCAGTTTTTTGGGAGGAGGGCCTTCACCACTTTTAGAAAGTTCACGTTTTTTGATAGCCGTCAGTCGCGAATGCTTATGCGTATCAGACATTTTTCAGGCGCGCAAATTCGCACTTTAATTTTTGACGCGAGTCACGGAACCGACTGCATAAGCCATCAAGTTGCAACTGGCTTGCGAATCCTTTCCTGCCCTCCTAGAATCTATATATTATTGCAAGATAGAAAAATTGAGATGGAAAAGCGTATTTTGCTCTGAACTGCCTGCTGAGAATGCTTTCTGGTCACAAGATATGACAACAATCCTTTGGACCGAGGCGAATCTTATCAGCGCTGACGGCCGGCGCTACGCCGTCCCGAGGGCGTCTTGAGAATGTTTCCCGGGACACCTGACACCATCGTGCACCGCGCGCTTGCAGATGTGGTGCAATCCTGAAACTATCGCTGCATCAACAAGTTTAAGCTACAAATAAAAAGTAGTATGATGTAAAACTAGTTAATTTTCGTTGAGCGTTAAATTATGCATCTATCACAAATTAGAAGACCAGGCAAGAATCAAGGGCTTAAGACGCGTGGGGAGGTTGTGGATGGGGGGACGGGGGGTGCTTTGAAGGAGGATGGGGGGCTTCAGGGGGAGGCTGGGGTACATTTTAGGTTATATACTGCCTATTTATGAATAAATTGACCAATTAGAACTCTCAGTGAGGCCTGAGAAAATTTGCCAAAATTGATGAAAAAATGCGAAAATTAGCCAAATTTGGCAACTTTAAAGGCCCGTCGGGACCTCTAAATGTTGACCAAATGCAAAACTGTTCTACAACGTTTGTTTTTACACTAGTAGGAACGTTTTGGCGGGGTGCCTTGTCAATTTTAAAATTCATCATTTTTAATTTCCTCTATAAGCCGCACCCTAGTAAAGCATGCACCGCTAAAGCCTGATCCTACCTTGCAGAGAAAAAAAAGCCCCGTCCGAACGAATAATATCGTAAAAGTGCATATAAGGAATGGAAACCGAATATCTTTAAAATGTAGTCAATAGTAGGAGCCAGAACCATTTATCAGTTGGACATACATCTTGGAAGATCCAGGCCGTAGCAACTGTAAAGCATGATTTAGGAATATGCATTTCGGTTTTAAGTCCGAGTGTCCCGACTTGCTAACGCAAGATCTTAATTCGTCTCTACTCTAAAGATCCATTTACCGAACTTCAAATTATTAGCGCAGACGGATATGATGAATTGCGTTGACGTAATATATAGATTACTCTGGTTAAATTAAGACATTAATGGTGCAGAGAATACCTCCCAACTTTAAAACATCACTTAAAAGGTAGGAAGGATCGCGTCAATGGATCAGTTGCGCCGGCCACAGAATCGTGTTTTGATGCTTGATTCTTGTAGGTTAGCTAATAATTATAAACTCTATCCAAACAGCAACTTCCTACCTTCAGTACTAACAGTATAACAGAGCTTAGCAGAGTAAAACAGAGAGAGAAAAAATTACAAAATTATCAGATCAGCACAATTTTAACACAAGAAATAAAAATAAGTTCATAACACCAAGAGAAAACGAGTATGTAAAGCAATGTTTTCTGTGTTACAATAAACTTCCTTTAAAGGATTTAAAAATTGATGATAACACAGAATTGCAAAAATTCACAAAATTGATCACTGAATTCCTAGTGAAGAAAGAATTCTACGCAGTTAGAGAACTGGTGCCGGACGTTTATTCAATCTAATTCACTTGAAGAATTATCTAATTTAACTATTATGCATTTTTCTAATTTTGAATATTAGTACCAATTAAGTTTAATCTAAGTTGACCCGTTTGTTTGCCTTTTTGCGCATTTTTAACGAATAAAGTGATTTCTATTCTATTTTATTCTAGTTATCGCGCTTTGAAAAGTCGGATTTTTAACGTCATTCGCCGCGGTAATGGCACCCTTGGTTTCTTCCTTTTCTTTTCGATCAGTGATGCAGAGGGCGCAACACGAAACTTCAACGACATTATACATTAACAAACTGTGGTGAACTGGCCAACCGGCGAAGATTCTCTTCTGCCGCAATCACACACTGAATGCGGGAGCTGAATGTGGCTCGAATGTGGAAGTCATCGGCCCGATGCCTGAATTTTGCGCGTGACGCGCAAAATTCAACTACGATTCTCAGCAACCATCGGACTAATGTTGAATTTGTCTGAACTATTCAAGTAGATTTGATACACATCTGGATGAAAATAACTCGAATTTGCTAAATTTCAGCCGTTGGGCGATGACTGTTGACTTCCACATTCAGCTGCTAAATTCAGCGTGTGATCGCGGCATTCGTGTCAAGTGCTCCTGATAAGAAGATCTTTGAAGCTCAAATCCGTCTGTTTCTCGAGTTTGCTCATGTTTAATGTTGTTGAAGCTACACGTTGCGCCCTTTGCATCACTGGTCGAACAGAAGAGGAAGAAACCAAGGGTGTCATTACCGCGGTGGATGACGTTAAAAACCCGACTTTTCAAAGCGCGATATCTCTTTTAATGTTGAGCGTAGGAAGTTGCTGTTTGGACGGATCTTATTTTTTTAGTAATCTACAAGAATCAAGCATCAAAGTACGATTCTGTTACAGCGCAACTGACCCATTCTCAGGATTGCTAGTCAGTGTTCCCCATGTATGTGAAGAATATTTAGTGAACATTTCAGGCAATTATGTTACTTTAGTTTTTTTTAAAAATAAATTGAAGGGGGGGGGTTTAAAATTCTGCCCCAAGATATGCATTTTTGCAATTTCATCTTCATCATAAAATATTCATTGGCTGGTGTCGAACGACTTCGCTAAAGATGGGATGTTAATCACAGTACTTTTTCATGGTAATATCTAAGAAAATCGACACCTGCGGGCCGACTTTTTAAAGCAGCTTGATAAGACACCGCATGCGATGTCTTGCGTATGGTTGCTGACATAGTTTGTGTAATCCAGTGGCGTGGCGTGAATGATCGATTATAGATATTTCCCCATTTGAAGCTATAGTAAAGAATCGATTACTAAGGTATTCGCTGCGAACCCCCTGATAATCGATCTTTTTCCATAGGTTTGAGTGGCGTATCAATCGATATATCGCAAAGCACGCTACGCCACTGGTGTAATCGGGCCGCAGAGTTCATAGAAAAGCTCGCTCTCCCATTTTTAACGGAGCATTAATGTAAACTATGCCTTTGGTGTTACCAAATTGAAATATTTCCCTCCAAATCGGAAGACATGTTACGCACGTAACTTATTCTAATGCAAATTTTGTCGTTTTCACTTCTCAACTCTCTAACACTGTCATTTCATTTTAGGTCTATGTTGACACTGAGGCAGAAAATCCCCGATTACATTTTTGACAACAAGTATCAGTCCATTACAGAGTTGCATCTAAGCACTGTCAAGGTTTCTGTCTCAGATATTCAAAAATTATTTACCTCCTTCCCGAAGCTCAAATATTTACGTCACTATCAGTTGACAGCCGCGCTGTACGAACTGCATGTTGAAGATTGGAAACAAAATCTTCCGTTGCCTGCTTATAAATTGAAAAATTTAGATGCGGACTTTTCTTATGTGGTAAGCGGCATTTGTGTATTTTTCTTATGTGGTAAGCGGCATTTGTGTATCTGATATGGTAATTTCCGCAAGGTATGCCGCATGAGATATCATACATTTTGTTGTCACCTACCTAATTCTTGTGGCATTGATTTACTCTTCGGCTTTGGGAATGAGGGTTGCATCATTTCATCATCCAAGTTAAGCAAGTCAGAAGCTGTTTCTTGTCGACCGGTAGACGTTGATCACAAATGGTGCGCAGAGGCAGATCCAGCAATTTGGCAACACCGGATTTCCTCCATTTAAACCTACGCTAAATAATCGATTCTTGACGGAGCACCTGGCTCATCCAAGAATCGATACATTTACATAGGTTTAAATGGAGGAGATCCGGTGTTGCCAAGTTGCTGGATCCGCCAATGATGGTGCGGCATTTTCATTGATTTGACTCTTGGTTTTTAGAGCGGGGTTGGAATTATTTCATCCTTTTGAGTTATATTGAGAAAGATTCTGCCAGCTTGATGCAATGTTGTCAAACATCATTTTTCTATTTTTTCATTTTTTTTTCTACCAGCGTTTAATCCTCGACTTTTTAGCTTCGGTTCGCTTCCCTACATTTTCCATGCTTTAGATCTCGCGGATTTTGACACCGGCTGCTGTTACGTACGTAAAATGCACGAGAGTTATGCCATCGCCTGTAGATGAACGGCGCCTTTTTCTTACGTATTTTTCTAAGATAATTCGATTTCTTCATCAGTTTAAGCTCCCTTATCTTAGGTTAACTGCCTGCCTGGCATTTTTCTGTATAAAATCAGATAGTTGTCCTCCAAAATTCTCCGCATAGGATTCCTGCTGCTCTGCCTTACAGCCTCACTGCGTGAGAGTGATGTAAGGCCATAAGATCTAAGAATTTACAAACCCTCGATCTCTAGGATAGGTACGGCCCCTCAGTCAAAAAATAGGAAAGTCAGAACTATTCTACAAGCAATCAGTGTGAAAGAACTTGGAATGTTTTGTCCTCAGTGTAAATTCTCATTGAACCTAGGGAACTTCGATTCTACAAGTCTTTTTCAAGAGGGATTGGTAAAATCTAAAGTCTATATATAAATGCAATTAACAATTCCAGCCGGCTTTGCTTAGGCTCTGCTGTGAGTGAACAGTAAGTTGCGTTGAAAAACGAAGTGCAACGTCGACCTCGCATTCGAGGTACGTTAACGTCTTTTTTTTATCCTAATGTCATTTGGCAATGCGTTTCGCTTAATAGGTTGCCTACCTCTTCTGGTAACTACGCCTTCTTGGCTGCTGCTCCCAGGGACGTGTTGTAAAGATTCACTACTAATGGTCTTTTGATCAGGTCGGCTTCAAGGTGCCGAGGAAGTCTGGGTTCCAGCCTTCTCTTCATAACGTGCCGGATATCCTGACTCAGAAATGAAGCGCACTTCCTCTTCGTCGCTAGCCACAGGTGATGATGGTTCATGATCGTCATCGAGCTGAGCGGATAAGGGTTTTCTCGACAGACGCGCAAATGCAATAGGGAGTTTGACAGGTATAAGAGCAATGTCGTATCGTTTCATGCCATCAACATATTGGGTTTACTCCAGGTGGAATGACATCGTCGTTATAGTAGATGGTGCCCTCGGTAAATTTATGAAGGAAAGAATAATAATAATCAGGCGTTCCGATGACGTGCTCCATTGCAATGCGAATTAGAGTACAAAACCAAAAGAGTGAGCTGACTTAAAGGAATAGTCAGTAAGTACTCATGTACTGGACAGTTAAACCCAGAACAAACTAATAATTGTTAAATTAAGGGAATGATCTGCGTCGAGGTCTGGAATCCAGCGCTCAAAAACGTGAAGTACGTTAACGTCTGTGTGACGCAATTAAGTTCGCTTGCTTCAGTACTGTGCAACTTCTCTAATGTGCTGACTTGTGTTTTAGCTTGTTCCTTGGCTGCTCTTAGGTCGTTTTCTAGATTTCCTAGATATAAAGCTCAAAATGCTTTTTGTTGTGCTTAGAAAATTTATTTTATTATAGAAGTTTTTTACTTTCGGAACAATTATTATTATTATTGTCGTTGTAACAGTATTAATATTACTGATACTCGGGTAGAGCAAATATTTTATGCTCTGTTTTTAAATCTGTAAGTCGAATTTTGCTCTTGCGTAAAACTTTGCACATGTGCAAAGTTTTGTTGTTTTGTTCAGGTTGTGAGCATTTCAGTAAAAACTAGGAGCTTCATTTATATCACTAGTGCTTATAAAAATCGTGAACTTACTCAGACTGTAACAACCATTCAGATTACTTTTTAACGTATTAACATTATTTGACGTTCATCGTAATCTATTTTATTAAGCATTGACTTTTCTTAAATTTATCAGGTTCGTAGCCAGTGGACTCCTCGAAGAAGTCTACCGGTTGATGCATTTCAGTTAGCAACTATATTATGCCCAGATACCAACGTTGCAAAAATACGATTTGACTGTTCAACTAATCATGACTCGATCTCTCCTCTTATAAATCTAAAAAAACTGAAAGAATTGAGTTTGGTACGGGTCACTGATGGCGAGCGCTGTTTACTAGACTTTACAGACATAACCTTACTCCTTCAGAAGCATGGAAAGCATCTCATAATGTTGGAGCTGAAAGTAAGCTGTCACTTTCTCTATTTTGCGTCGTGAGCTCATCAGAACATTGTATGGAGTTCCTTTCCTTTTTCTTCTTCGTTTTTTCTCTCTTAAAGAAAATGAGTAATTAAAATATAACTAGAGTCCCTTTATACTGAGAGTCAAGACAATGTGAATCCATTTCTGATTGGTTCCCGTGTTTTAGGCCTTCACAGTGTCACAGACGGGAATAAAGATTACAGTTTCACCGATTGCAAAGATTATAATCTGGAATGGACCGGGGAATTACGGGTTCGGCAAGGAACAAACGGAATGAGGGAAGGAACGAAGAAAGGAATTCGAGAATGGGCCGATCAAAGATTACGAAAAACGTTCGATTTCTGTAATCTTTATTCCCGTTTGTGACTCCATGAGGGGTGTTGTCTTGACTCTCAGTATAAAGGGACTCTAAAATATAACTAAGTTATGGCGTAAATATTCGGGGAATAATATATTAATGGTCCTCTAAAACTTATTCTGCGGCAATTGTGAAGTTCTTCTTCTCTTACCTATCATCATCTCTAATTATTTCTAAAAAATCGCGTTAGTCCGTTCCGTCTTTTCTCTCGAATTGATTTTTTCCCTGGCTTATACTGTGCGACCGAGACGTGGTCTCAATGTCAAACGTGGATTTAACAAATATTTGAGGAAGGTTTATGCCATCTTTTCATGCAGCATGAACTATGACGAAAGCCATTCAGTACTGCTCTTATCGTGCTAACTCCACGTAGATTCCAGAGAAAAGATTCTTTCAAAACGACTGTTGACTTCTCAACAGGTATTTTCAAGACCCTTCGGAAAACCTTTTTCTCGTATTGTTATATTTATCGAAAATTCAATCCTCTCTCAACAATCTAAAACTCCCAGTAACATTCCATTTAGAGCGACTGTTCTTATCAGCAAACACGTCCTGAAGCCTTTGTAGGGCTCACCAGGATACTGAATATCTCTATTCTATCCATATATCTTAGTGGCTAAAGTAAAAAAAAAAAAAAAAAAAAAAAAAAAAAAAAAAAAAAAAAAAAAAAAAAAAAAAAAAAAAAAAAAAAANAAAAAAAAAAAAAAAAAAAAAAAAAAATATTGTCGTTTTGGAAGAATTAATAGATCCATCAGGAAGAAAATGAGGACATACTTGCTTTATTCTCTCTTTTTGTCTCTTGAATGTCGTCTGAGATTTGTTATCACTTCGTCAGGTGATTGAAGAAGTTGATACTCATGTGATACTTGAATCCTGTTCACGTTTGGAAGTGCTAATTCTGAGCGGTTGCAGCTACAGATTCCCGGAGCCAACTTGCGAAACCTCTTGTTTAACATTAGATTCCTCCTCGGAATTTTTAACCAGACTACAATATTTCTTCTATGCCGATGGAGATGACTTTAGCTCTGACCATAGCTTGCCCCAATGTTTTTGGAAAAGCCTTCTTACTCCAGGTGGGTAATTTTGATTTGTGTGTATCTCTCTACAGATAGAAAATGTCCGTAGTAATATTCATTAGGAGACATCCGCCTCACAAATATAAAGGACAGGCAAACAGAATGGAAACTGGTCAAACTCTTGGCCAATGCGTATGTAACAAGTGGTCGAGCAACTCGAACTTCTGGAAAAATACAGAAATTACCACGTCACATTGATGATGGGGTTTGGCACTGAGTAGGAAAGTAAGTAATTATCGGGAATCAGTTGAGTCAGATCAACAGTATTTTGATTGCAACCATGAACCGCCATGTACGATGACTGCGATAAGATTTCTGCATAAGAGACTTCATTACGATTAAAAATTGGAGAATAACTCAGCATAGTGGGCATCAGTGGAAGAGTGGCAGAGAGCACATTAGTCTTATGAGAATTATTTTCATCAAAAAGATGGTTAAAATTAACAAAATGCAAATCAATATGAGCACCCCCTGTGTATGATGACGATGAAACAGTTTCGGTGTGGTGGGCTATTGGGGGGGGGGGGGNAAAAAAGCAAAGTGTGACGAAAAAACAGATAAAAAAAGGAAGGATCGTCGAAGAAAAGTCACGGCGAGAGTCCCTGGCCTCCGCTTTCGGGGAGCGCCAGGCCTCGCTCTCTTCCTCCCTTTTGCCACTTTCGCCGGCCAACCCCCAAAGTTTGTCATTCGTTGTCCTAGGTCGGGGAGAGAGATGCCGCGGTACGGCGTTGCAACTTCGGGATGGCCGTTGTCGTGGACCAGGCAGGTTGGCCCCTGGCTGACCGGCCGATTTGGGGCCCCCGCAAAGGTACGGTTTTTGACTGGTCAGTTTGAACTGACCCATGTGGGCCTCGTAGCTCGNGGCAGTGATAACGGCCCATAAAAACTTGCCGGGGTGGCCGCGAGAGGAATTTGGGGCGGTTTGGCCGGTGAGGCGAGTGACCACCTGTCTCCCTCTCACGCCCGGTCAGGCTGCAGGGACTGCAGGCATCCTTGTCGCCCTTGGTATGCGTATTGTTTCGGTCACGGTGGGGGCCGGTCTCATGCTTCCCCGTGTTGCAAAAGCCGTATCATCACACATTGATGATATCAGTACACATATGGACGATATGTGTCGGGTCCATGGACTATCAGCTCCAAGCCTGAAATCGCGGGTCAATACAAAAGGTACTTACTCAGACAAGTGCACTCCACCATTTGACCAGCGCACGGAAGCCACCAGTCCGGAGCTATGTTTCGAGCCTCAGCTCAATTGAACAGAGTGTTATAACCCGAGTGTACACCATCTGGGAAGGTCAAGTATAGGTACAGGACATAATATAGTGGGCCCAGTTTCCCGGGAATGATCTCACCCCACTAGTAATCGTCCAACCCTTCCGTGGTAAGACCTTCTGCCACAACTGTTTGTAATTGCTTATATTCCCGTAGGGTGGTTTCGGGACCTCTGTCACTCACAAGTGAGTAACGGCCAGGCTTCTCCTCGTGCTCCAACTCGAACTTCTGAAAAAATACAGAAATTACCACGTCACATTAATGATATCAGCATGTACAATCGATTCCTTCGAGTGCCTCTTTTTGTCACTCTTTAATAAATTCAATAGTAGCTTCGTAGGAAAGGTTAAACAAATTATTACTATTTACGGTGTTTATTAAGTCTCGAATAATTGGAGCAGACGTATTAAGCCAAGACAAAAAAATAAATTTAATCCTCGTTCATTAGCAAGAAGTGAAACATTTTACGGATGAGGTTTTGTTGAGCAAAAAATTGTTGCCAGGTACGAGCGTTCGCGTAAGTTTCTTCTAGGTAAGTTTTTACACTTAAACTAACAGGATCTTCGTACTCGTGCTCGTTGAAGAAGTCCCATAAAACTTCAGTAGTTTGTCTAGGAGACAATTCTTTGAGGTTTGTTTGCCTAGCCACTTGAGTCAGATCTCGGACTAAAAGGCGGATGCAATGCAATTGGGGAAACATTAAAATATAAAGTACAGATGCGTAAAGTGCAAAACTGATTTTTATCAGCATGTACAATCGATTCCTTCGAGTGCCTCTTTTTGTCACTTTTTAATGTGCGAACGCTCCCTGAACTTTTGGACTTCTCCGTGACGTTCTTACTTTCAGTTGTTTTTTCATCATAATTTGCGTTTTTTTCATCTTTCGAACATGGCTTTGAGTCTCGAGATCCGGACGTGATCACCGACAGTCAGGTTTTTCCTTAATATTATAATCAACATGTAGTTCTTCGACAGGTACAGATGAGTTTTGCCGGATATCTTGTCCGAGATCTGCAACACGAGCAATGTGATTCGTTTTAAAATAATGCTTTATTCGGCTTCAGACCGATCGTTAGTTTGGGGAAACATTAAAATATAAAGTACAGATGCGTGAAGTGCAAAACTGACTTTTATCAGCATGTACAATCGATTCCTTCGAGTGCCTTGTACAATCGATTCCTTCGAGTGCCTTGTACAATCGATTCCTTCGAGTGCCTCTTTTTGTCACTGTTTAATGTGCTAACGCTATCAGCGTATTTAGACTTCTCGGTGACGATTTTTTGATCCTTCTTTCTTTTATCTGTTTTTTCGTCACACTTTGCTTTTTTGTGATCCTCAGCATGTACAATCGATTCCTTCGAGTGCTTCTTTTTGTCACTGTTTAATCTGCTAAGGCTATCAGCGTTTTTAGACTTCTCGGTGACGATTTTTGATCCTTCTTTCTTTTATCTGTTTTTTCGTCACACTTTGCTTTTTTGTGATCCTCAGCATGTACAATCGATTCCTTCGAGTACCTCTTTTTGTCACTCTTTAATGTGCGAACGCTCCCTGAACTTTGGGACTTCTCCGCGACGTTCTTACTTTCAGTTGTTTTTTCATCTTAATTTGCGTTTTTTGCATCTTTACTATGCCCAATGGATTGTTTGATGTCATTCGTCATCTTTGGAATGCCATCTTGACCGTCGGCGTTTGCGTTGTTCATTGTGGCAGAAGATAATACTTCAGTTTGAGCTTTACCGTTCAATCGCACATTTTCTACAAAGTAGCTGGGGTTTGGCATTGAGTAGGAATGTAAGTAATTATCGGGAATCAGTTGAGTCAGATCAACAGTATTTTGATTGCAAACATGAACAGCCATATACGATGACGATGATAAGATTTCTGCATAAGAGACTTCATTACGATTAAAAATTGGAGAATAACTCAGCATAGTGGGCATCAGTGGAAGAGTGGCAGAGAGCACATTAGTTTTATGAGAATTATTTTCGTCAAAAAGATGGTTAAAATTAACAAAATTCAAATCAATATGAGTACCCCCTGTGTATGATGACGATGGAACAGTGCCGGTGTGATGGGCTATGGGGGGGGGGATCTAGGATGATGTGAAAAAATATAAGTCAGAAATATGATGGATAAGATGTAATATGCAGGAAAAAAATATATGAACAACGATGAATAAAAGTCAGGGAAAAATATAAAAAATGGCAAAATCAGGACAACTCAAGAAAAATAATATGGCAAGATCAGATGGGACGGAAGATCAAAATCGGAGCAAATCTCGAAGAAAATCCGTCTCGCATGGGAGTCGCGGCGAGAGTCCCTGGCCTCCGCTTTCGGGGAGCGCCAGGCCTCGCTCTCTTCCTCCCTTTTGCCACTTTCGCCGGCCAACCCCCAAAGTTTGTCATTCGTTGTCCTAGGTCGGGGAGAGATGCCGCGGTACGGCGTTGCAACTTCGGGATGGCCGTTGTCGTGGACCAGGCAGGTTGGCCCCTGTCTGACCGGCCGATTTGGGGCCCCCGCAAAAGTACGGTTTTTAACTGGTCAGTTTGAACTGACCCATGTGGGCCCCGTAGCTCGAAAGAGCCTAAAAGGCTCCCTGCCCCCCCCCCCCCGTGGTTTTGGAAGCGAGGATGCACGGTGCAGCGGGGCAGTGACAATGGCCCGTAAAAACTTGCCGGGGTGGCCGCGAGAGGATTTTGGGGCGGTTTGGCCGGTAAGGCGAGTGACCACCTGTCTCCCTCTCACGCCCGGTCAGGCTGCAAGCATCCTTGTCGCCCTTGGTATGCGTATTGTTCCGGCCACGGTGTTGGCCGGTCTCATGCTTCCCTGTGTTGCAAAAGCCATATCATCACACATTGATGATAACAGTACACATAACCCTCTTAGATATACATTATATAAGACCCTCTGGCACAACTGTTTGTAATTGCAGTCTTCTTTTTATGAGACGTTTTTTCGTCACATTTTGCTTTTTTGTGATCTTCAGCTTGTACAATCGATTCCTTCGAGTGCTTCTTTTTGTCAATGTTTGATCTGCTAAGGCTGTCAGCGTTTTTAGACTTCTCGGTGACGATTTTTTGATCCTTCTTTCTTTTATCTGTTCTTTCGTCACACTTTGCTTTTTTGTGATCCTCAGCATGTACAATCGATTCCTTCGAGTACCTCTTTTTGTCACTCTTTAATGTGCGAACGCTTGTGATGGCAAAGGGGGAGAATCGGGGGATGATGATAAAAAAAAATAAAAGTCCGGAAATATGGCAGATAAGAATATAATACGTGAAAAAATATGGCAACGAAAAAAAAACTCAGGAAATACAAAAAAAACAGTGACGAAATCGGGAACTCAGGAAAATATCAGATCAGAAAGAAAAAAATGGGGCTGAACCAAATCGGTAATCTGGGCAAGTCTCTCGAAAAAGGAAATGTGTCCTCTAAGAGAGTCGCGGCGAGAGTGCCGTGGCCTCCCCTTTCGGGAAGGCCCCGGACTCCTCTCGTCCTCCCTTTTGCCATTTTCGCCGGACAACCCCCAAAGTTGGCCATTGGTTGTCCTAGGTCAGGAGAGAGGGATGCTGCGACTTCGGGGTCGCTGGGGTCGTGGACCAGGCAGGATGGCCCCTGGTCGGGTGGCAATTTGGGGCCCCCGCAAAGGCGCGGCTTGTGACTGGTCAGTCTGGGCTGACCAGTGTTGACCCCGTAGCTCGAAAGAGCCTAGGCCCCCCCGTCGTTTCGGGAGCGAGGATGCGTGGTCCAGCGGGGCAGTGATAACGGGCCATAAAAAAAACTCAGGTGGCCGCGAGAGGGATTTTGAATGGTTTGGCCCAGTACGGCGAGTGACCATTTGTCTCTCTTTTTCCTGCCCGGTCGTGCTGTAGGCATCCTCGTCGCTCTGGTATGCATTGTCTTGGGCACCGGTCTCAGGGCGCAACTTGTTGCGTTAAGAAGTGAAACTCGACGTGTGCCTCCTCAGTGATGTGTTCGAGGAGTTCCGACTCTTTGGGATGAAAAACTAGGGTTTGGACTGTGCCAACTACTTAACGCTACCCGGTTTTGCTTTCGACGCCTTCTTAAAAATAACTGCGTTAATGTATTCAGAAGATGACCCGATTCATCACAGCAGGCGCAGCCACACCACACCACATCACTTGAGCACCCACAAAATAATTGAAGAGAATTCTATTTGAAACTTCGAAATTATTTATGTCCCTTTTACCGTTCCTTTCAATGTACCTATCTTAAAAAGTTCAGTCGAGTCTGTGCTCGGGGCTGTGTGGTCGGGTCTGTGGTGCGTACATCTTCGACACATTACAAAAATGTATGCAGGATTCGAGGGAAAACTGCATCGCACTAGGGAGGAAAAAGAAAAATATTTAAGACAAATTTCGTTTTCCTTTTCCCGTATGTTTAAGTTTGCGGAGGCTACCTTGGAGGCAGCCTCCGAAAGAAAAGAAGGAGAAAAGAACGCAAATATGAAAGATGTAATCAAAGTTATTGTAAAGAAAAAACAGAAAAAATGAACAACGGAAAATGTCATAAATATATGTATCTCGAACAGGTAGCAAAAATGTCAGATGACAGCAAAAATCACACAAAATATGAGGTCCAAAAAAAAAAAGTGGAGAAAAGGAGAAAATAGCTCGATGCCTACTCGAGGTCCCGAAGAAGAGTGTCCTCCTCTCGTTCTTCGAGAAGCCCCCGGATCCATGCTCCGTTCCATCTCCACTTTTCGTCGGCCAACCCCCAAAGAAGGGGATGCTGCGATATGGTGTTGCAACTTGTTGTGACTTTTGTCACTGGTCAAGCAAGGTAGCCCCTGGTCAGTTTGGCTGATTTGGGGGCCCCGCAAGAGCGCTCTTCCTGTTTGGACACTCTTGGCCGACTCTTGTGGCCCCCGCACTTTGCCAAGAGCCCAACGGCCCTCCAAAGCCCCCTGCGGTTCTGGAGCGTGAATATTCGGTGTAGCGGGCGGTGATAATGGCTCCATAAAAAGTCACCGGAGTTGAGATTCAGGCCCCGGCTTTTGTGTGGAGCTCACGGCCGGGTTGCCTGGCTGCGCCTGTCGCTGCGAGAGGGGGGAAACAGGGGTAGTTTGACTTGCGCCAGTGACTGCATGTCTCCCTCCCTCGCACACGATCAGGCCGCCGCTATCTCTCTTCTCCGCTTAAAACTCAGGCTAGGTGGTGCTGTGGCTTCTGCCTTGTTGCCCTCCAAGCCGCAACGTTGCCATTTATCTATATCACCACAATACTTCAGTTTGAGCTTTACCGTTCAATTGCACATTTTCTACAAAGTAGCTGGGGTTTGGCACTGAGTAGGAAAGTAAGTAATTATCGGGAATCAGTTGAGTCAGATCAACAGTATTTTGATTGCAAACATGAACCGCCATATACGATGACGATGATAAGATTTCTGCGTAAGAGACTTCATTACGATTAAAAATTTGAGAATAACTCAGCATAGTGGGCATCAGTGGAAGAGTGGCAGAGAGCACATTAGTCTTATGAGAATTATTTTCGTCAAAAAGATGGTTAAAATTAACAAAATTCAAATCAATATGAGTACCCCCTGTGTATGATGACGATGAAACAGTTTCGGGAGAGGCACCCGTGCGTTGAATAGGAGTGGGAACGTAATTTGGTGTACCAAATGTTAATGAGTTAATATTTTGGCCAGGGATGTTTCGATTATCTTCGTTTCCGTTATCACCGGTAAAAAAATTGTTCAGCTTAAATTGGCAGTTTTCTAATATGAATTTCGCCCTGTCATTGACGAGATTTTCGCTCTTCAATGATTCCACAAAATCTGTTAGCGCCTTCTTATGTATTGGTTTAAATTTTGGCACATTCTCATTCTCTCTCTCTATTTCCCAAACTGTTTTTGGGATGTATTTTCCTTTTTCTGAGCCGACAGAGTCGATCAAAAGGATTCGTAATGGTCATTGAGCTTTTTGAAAATTGATTTTTCTTTCTCGAGCTCTTGCTTTTGTTCTCTGTCATTTTCGGTCAGAGTTTCCAATTCTTTGTTAATTTTTTTTATTTCTGCCTCGTTTTTTGTAATACAAGTTCCCATGTATGCCTCTAAAGATTCTACATACCGATCAAAATCAACCGTATCAGAATCCACATTAGAAAAGTTTTTAGCACGTTTATAGAGAGGCGAATTAGAGCGACTCGAATAAATCTTAGAAAGCGCACTTTTGCTATTATTGGCAGAATCAATTACTCGCTCCTCCATAGTTAATCCTGAAAAACTTTCGATTTCATTTAAACTGAATGTATTAATTCTGAATGTTTTTCCTTGCAATTTTCACTATCTTTAGGTGAAATTGCAAGCAAAACTATCTCAAAAATTGGAAAGAAAACATTCATAAGTTTACCAGGAAATTCGTGTTTTATTAAAGGAAATTTGGCAACGCCTTATGAGTATTCGAATGTTGCCGAATTGCCTCTCGGAAAATTGTTATCTTTGAGGAAAGCTATGCATATTTTTCCTTGAAATTTTCAGATTTTTTAGGTTAAATTGTGAACAAACTCGTCTGAGAAATTAGAGGTAAAATATTCAGAAATTTTCCAGTAAATTCGTTTCTTATCGAGGGAAATATGGCAACGTCCGAGGGCTCATGCGGCGTTTTTCTGTAACTCGGTAGGTGCATCTTTGCCCGAAGTGAATCACGTTTTTAGTAGAAGAAGTCGCTAGGATGTCAAAAACCGAACTTAGTCCTCTCGCAGAAATCTGAGTCAATTATACGAACTAAATTATGATGAGTAGCCTTACTTTTTACTCTTAGCGCTATCATTTTTAAAGTTCACTCCTTTGTGGAAAGCAAAAACACCTAAATCTCATTCTTATCAGCGACAAGCATCGGCACCAGGAAGCTCCGCAAGTTCTTTTACTTTCTTTTCAGACAGATCGTGTAAAAATGGACGGAAAAAACTACGAGGCCTATTTCTCGAAGCCCCGCGCATTTCAGAACTCACCGCTGGGGAAATTTTCCAATCGGATCATATTTTACCGGACTTGCAAGTGCTCAGCATCTGTCGCTACTCAGAATTGCTCTTTGAGCAACTTGTTTCGCTTATGAGTCCAGAATTGGTGTATTTGAAAATAGGGCAGTGCGATCAGTTTTCTACCGCGCAGATCAAAAGATTGAAAAATTTAATTTCCAGCAAAAATATTTCATTTTTCTACGAGAAGTAAGAGCACTTGTCAAAGTGTCAAAGTAAAAAAAAAAAAACATATGTCTACGAGGAAGAAACTAATGGTACTTACGTTGTTTTCAAGCTAAACCAGAAATTGTAGTTCCTAATTGCGGAACGTAGTCCATATGTTAGTCGTTACTCGTTTGTGTTACTATGTTTAAGATGAGATTGAATTAAGTAGGGGCAAATACAGAAGGTCCCTCCCAGTTTGCAGGTTGTGCTATCATACTTTTTTAGAGGTATAAATTATCATGTTAAAAATTCATGTTGGTCCTGAATTGCAGCTTTTGGTCATGGCCTCTGGCCATTTTTCAAACCTTAACATTTCTTTGTAATAGGCCACTAGCGAAGGTCTGAATCAGAAGAAAACGTTACATTTTCTCTTTTCAAGATTGTATGTCGTAATCGATTCACACAACAGGAAGTTCGGAAATTAACGCCTGAGCGAGGTATTAACAAGTCTTTCTAACACGGATCAAATGGGAGTTAGATTATACAAATGACGTCGTTTGTATTTTTGCCACTAAACGAATGTTAATTGAAAACACTTATATCTTGTTAAGGAGTTGCTTTCCAGACTTTCCGTCGTGTGATTCGTTTTTCACGTGATGTTTTGAAGTGAAAGCAAGTCGCGCCGTGCTTTAATTCATACCTTGTCTAGAGATCCATTGAAAATTGTATGTATGATAAGAAATAGAATAGCATGCGATAAATACAAAAAATGACATGTTATGTCGTGATCTTTTATGTTGAAATGATTCCTGAAGAGTAAATATACAATAACGAACAACTGTAACAATTGTGAAGCAATTTATTATTTGTATGTTGGTTGGTTGTGTGGGAACTGTCAAACGTGTGTAGACCAATGCATTATATGTGTTGCACTTAAATCACAAGTCATCACGTTTCAAATTTATTTCCTTAACTTGTTTTTATATTGTCATTGAAACTGTAAAACGGTAAAAATACATTCAGCTTGCAAAACTCTTTTCTACTTTTTCCTTTATCCTGATCTCATAATAATTTTTAATTCTGCACAATAATTTCGGATGTGCAACTCAAATTCTAATATAAAAATAAATAAATAAGATAAATAATAATAATAAACCAAAAAAATCAAGATTATAATTTATCAGAAGCAAGTCCATGTAACTAAGGCGTCGGGTGCTGATAAGGCCCTTATCAGTTCATATGTATATCAACATTTCAACTTTGAATTTTGAGACACCTTTACTTTTCATTTGAGACACTGCAATGTAGATACATGGTTTCGCACTTTGGCCATCGATATTTTTTATTTCACTCAGAGAAAGGAAAAATCAAGGAGGTTATTGTCGAGAACCCCTCAAGTCAGCACCTGCATCATTGAATTGAAGCTAAACTTTTATGCGTGAAGAAAATTATTCATTTATCAAAAAACTAAGTCCAGGATAAAAGTAGGAAGGAGGATATCCCTTTTAAAAGAACCAAAAACAAAAATGTTGAAGAATTAGGACTTAAGGTGATTCGACGGACGCTATTTTTTGTGTCAGAGCGACGTGCGATGTATCGCATTGATGAGTTCCACAATTTCAGCGATTTGTCATTCGTTTCGAATTTTTAGCCCTGGATAGACGATCAAATTCCGAACCAATTCCGATCAAAGTAGACATGCTGATGACTGGTGGTCACCATCTACCATCAAATTTTGACGGGCCACACTTTTTTGTTCGAAGTAAGATCAGAACGGAGTGCCACCATTCATCATTTCCTGCCACGGGAAACATTCCTGCCAAGTTTTCATTTTAAAATGAATAAAATTAATGAGTTCAAGACTGATGACTCCCGATACTTTGATGCTACTTTGATCGGAATTGGTTCGGGAAGTTGATCGTCTATCCAGGCCAGGGCTTTTAGATCGCACTTCTGTTGATATGAGCCTGCTTTGACGAAGAAATTCAACGTATTAAATAAAGGCGGCGGTTTTTTAGAGGAAAAATATCGCATTCGATACTGATATCCAAACTGCACTCGAATGCGATATTTTTCCTCTAAAAAAACCACGCCTTTATTACGTTTAATTTCTTTGTCAAATTTGGTACATGAATTCTTCAGTCTTATGACAACAGAAGGGCGATCTCAAAATTCGAAAAAAAAAGGACTGCATTTTGCAATTTGGAGCTATACATTCTGGCTCATCTGAAAAAAACGCTTATGAGCACAGGAAAACTAATGGCACATACGTTGTTTTTAAATCGGGCCGGAATTTATAGTTCCTAATTGCAAAGTGTAGTCCAAATGACAAGTAGCTGAAATTATGGAACAAATCGATGCGATATATTGCACATCGCTCTGACACAAAAAATGGCGTCCCTCGGATTACCTCAAGGTCGGTCGGTACAACAGTTAAAATTCTTCAACTGCGGGGTCTCTCTAGACACCTGTCTTTAGAATTTCATTCTAAAAGTTCTTTCGAGGTGAAATTAACCAAATTCTGCGTGCTCATAACGTGGAGTATCATTGATCAAAAAGGGTCCACGGCAAAAGTCTTTACCAGTGGCGTGGCGTACTTAACGATGTATCGATCGATCTGTCATTTATACCTATGGAGAAAGATCGATAGACAGGATGTTCGCAACGGCTCCTTCATAATCGATCCTTTACCAAGCTTCAAATGGGGAATAATCGATAATCGATCATTCGCGCTTCGCCACCAGTCTTCACGGCTCATCTAGAAGATCATAAATAGTGGATAAGTGGCTCTTTTTCGGCTCCTCAGAGAACGACCTCTGCGGTTAGATTGTTGAATCGATATCGAATGACCTTTCGATAAAAAGCATTGCTAAGATAAGGATTTATCGATCAGAATCGTTCGATAGGGATTTAACTCTTTGTTGCATGAGCAAATCGTTGATTTTGGAGAGAAAATCTACATTGTACAGTATTTTATTTGACACTATTGTCGGTTGGAATCGATTTTTATGGTTTTTTCTAAGCAAGGAGATCAGACATATAATGTTCCCCAAAAAATTATTTCTTGCTTTGATTCAATTTAATACCCCAGCATAGAAATAAAGCTGAAAACCATTTGTTGCTTTCATGCAACGCTATGCAATAAAGGGTTAATAATCGACCCGGAGGGGTGTCTGCACTCTGCGGTGTTCTGCCGTGCTAAGGAAAAACGCCGTATGAACATTTAAGGGTTGCAAAATTTCCTCCAGTAAAATGTGTATTTTTAAGAGATTTATGAATATTTTCCCTTGAAATCTCCAGGAACTCAAGGTGAAGTTGCGAACAAAATAATCTGAAGAATTGGAAGTAAAAGAATAATAACTTTTCTCGAAAATTTGTGTTAAATCAAAGGAAATTTGGCAACGTCTGGAGGTTCATACGGCGTTTTTCCTTAGCAGCAGTGTTTGTGACTGTAAGCTGAAATCACCAAGTAGGCAGGGACACATACTGCCGTGCTAAGGGAGAACGCCGCATGAACCTTCAGAAGTTGCCAAGTTTCCTCCGATAAAAACCGAATTTACTGGGAAAATTGCGAATATTAGTTTCCAAGATTTCCAGACAATTTTGTACGCAATTTAATCTAAAATATCTGAAAATTTCGAGGAAAAATATGCATGAATGTTGTCAAAAATACATGTTTTATCGAGGGAAATTTGGCAACTCTTGAATGTTCGTACGGCGTTCTTCCTTAGCACGGCAGCATAGTATAAACAAATCTAGAGGGAGAGGCCGTATGATAGGTCGAAGAAGTAACGTATGCACTATTGCACTGTGAGTGGGTGGCAATGTTGTGATCTGTACTTAAATTTTGCGACCCTCTTTAAATTGATAGTTATTGGTGATGAAGATGTTATTCGAATTCGAATTGAAATCACTCGAAAAACATGTGTTTCTCTTAATGAGCCCCGTCCAACTTCCTCTCTCTACGCGATCGTAAACTTGGTTTTTCACACAGCACAGCGCGCGGCGATGATGCTCATGATTTTACAGGGATAAAACGCCTTCAAAACCTCTTGATACCACATCTGTTACGTATGTTTGTTGTTTCTTTTCGACAGGAGCTCGCTGTTCTTGGGGGAGATAACGAGACTGCATACTGCATCCTATGAGTCCAAGCAACATAATTTTGAAGAGATTTAAAATTTAATGATTATCAAAAGTTTTAAGGTGATTCGATGGACGCCATATTTTGTGTCAGAACGGCATGCGATATATCGCATCAATTGGTTCCATTTTGTCAGCTACTCGTCATTTTTCTCCAATTTTGAGATCGCAATTCTGTTGTCAGGAGACTAAAGCACTCACTTACCAATTTTAACAAAGAAATTCAACGTAATAAAGGCGTGGTTTTTTTTAGAGAGAAAATATCGCATTCTAGTGCAGTTTCGATATCAGTATCGAATGCGATGTTTTCTCTCCAAAAAAACCACGCCTTTATTACGTTGAATTTCTTCGTAAAAATTGGTAAGTGAGTGCTTTAGTCTCCTGACAACAGAATTGCGATCTCAAAATGGGAGAAAAATGACGAGTAGCTAAAAAAATGGAACCAATCGATGCGATATATAGCATGCCGTTCTGACACAAAATATGGAGTCCATCGGATCACCTTAATGATCGATTTTAACCGGGGTTTTGCGCCACTAACCCTAGCATATATATTAGTACAAAAATAGGGGAAATAAAATTGGAGAGAAGACTTGCGAATTAAATCATAGGTAATCAAACATCGTTTACAAAATCTTGCTGTTTTTAGATTAGCCTTATTCCGGATTTTACATTTCCATGGACAAAAGTTCCACACTTTTTCGCAAATCATAAAAATACCCCGTATTTTGAATATGAGAAGCTCGCCCCTTGAAAGAAGCTGACGAATTGTAGCTGCTAGAATTTGAAAATGTTTCAAGAAGGTAAGTTAATCATTCTTATCTTATATCAACAGCGTCCATCAACAATCAAGAAATTCGAAATGTTTACTTTGGCCCCCCAAAGATGAAGAGGACGAACTATTACTGAAAAAAATTGGCAAAGAGGGAAAAAATACACCCGTTCCCTTCATAAGACTCAATATAAAATATGAACATTCAAGGTCACATTTATAATACTGCACCTTTTTTGTGGACTTCGAATTTCTCTTCGCCCAAAGTTTACCAGTGACGCATGCTGAAAATTACCAGAGACCTCATTGGACTGCATTTTGTCATTTAGAACTATAAATTCTGGCTCATCTGAAAAAACACTTATTTGCGTAGGAAAACTAATGGCACACGGAAAAAAAAGAATTGCTGATTCAGCTGTTCAATTGCTAAAAACAGTGAGTGCAATGTTTCAGTGCGGATTTTACAACAAAAAAATGCTACTTTAACCACATTGTAAACTAATTTAACCACGGGGATGGTTGAAGTAGCATTTTCTTGTTGTAAAATCTGCGTTGAAACATTGCACTCACTGTTTTTAGCAATTGAATTGCTGAATCAGCAATTCTTTTTTTTTTCCGTGCACATACGTTGTTTTAAACCGGACCAGAATTTGTAGTTCCAAATTGCAAAATGCAGTCCAATTCTTTGTTTAGTTATAGTTTTCTTGTGAGCATATTCTCCCTTGAAATTTTCAGACATTTTAGATTAAATTTCGTACAAAATTGGAAGAAAAATATCTAAAAATCTTCCCAAAAGTTCGTGATTCAGGTACCAAAGAAAATTAAGCAACGCCTGATGGCTCATACGGCGTTCTTCCTTAGACCGGGAGCGTAATCGTCATATTGGACTGCAAGTGCACCGTGCAAAAGTGAAAGACCCTCATAGTAACAGATGTTACATGCAATTGTAAACGCGCGCCGGGGGGGGATGCGAGAACAAACAAATGCATTCTCCTTGCACCAGAGAAGGTTTCCATTAGTACTCCTCTGGGCTCAAAAGTCAGTGCCTCCACGTCGCACTGTGGAGGATCGAATCAATCTGAGAGGTCGGGCAGAATTTGGAAACTTTAAACGCTGATAA